CTGAAGAATGGTACTCTCCCTTTCATTCCATCTTGGATACTTTAATTTTGTATGCAGCAAACCATGTAGCCTGTCCTCAAGCTAGCCTCATCGTCGCACCGAGTGGCTGAAACCTGCCCCATTTTGGCACAAAATTGGGTTACTAAGGCAGAAGCCCATAGAAAACCCATCATGTGCATCATTACTCCGGCCCAAATGTATGCATCAATTGGATTATTATAACAATAAAGAGGTTTTTATGATCGATTTGCCCATTTCTGCTTATGTCAAGCGTGCATTCATACATGCTTCTGTCTACATGCAATATGGTGCAAGCTGGCTGCTGGGCAAGGTGAAGACTCAGACTCGTATGAGTTCGTATGGGCCAACAAATGTTAAGGTGGGCTGACTCAAAAATGCATACGAAACGAAAGGCAATCTAGTAAAAGCTGCAGTGAACGATTGGCTTTTCTGACGTCCGAACAAAGAGACCCGAGTATGGGCTCGAGTCTGGAGCATGGGACAAAAGCGGGACAATACGTTGCTTGGGGTCTATGCTGATGGGGGAAAGAGGCAACGAGAAATTAGATAACACTTGGATCGATCTCGTTACAGGACATTGTGCTAATGATGCCGTTTCTGCTTGTTTTATTTTTGTGCACACACACGCATACACACACACATACAGAGAGAGAGAGAGAGAGATACATCTCCACGTGTACAGGAGCATTGGCCTCGTTTTTCCTTGATTCAATTGCCCATACCCGCCTAAGGTGTCCTCGTTACAATCGGCTTCTTCATCAGCTGCGTCAAAATCTCCAGCATACTCTTCATTATCACCCTCCTCATTATCCCCATCATTCTCATCAGTGCTATCGGCATGATTGGTATCAGCAGCAACCTAATGGGCTGCACTATCACGTCCACCCTCATCGCCTTCATCACAGTCGCCCCTTCCCAGGACTATGGGCAACAGGGGGAGCCAAACACGTGCGGATACCTTCGACTGGGCACACTTCTGCACTCCGTCAGTCATACACGCCGACACACACACCCAGACAAGCATGGGCATGCCGTCAAGGCACACAAGTAGAGATCACACTTGGCCGATTTCGCCTGTGAGGACAAAGTCAGGTGATGGTTTTGGGGCGAAGGAGAACATGGGAGGTGGAGGAATTGTGGAGGCAAATGGAGGAATGGAAAAGTGGAAGAGTTTGCTAACAGAGCGACCATGTTTAGTCTGTTGTCCCTAAGACAGGTCAGACGGGCGCCATGGTGTCTAGGACCGCCCAGACGCTTCGGCGCTGCTGTCTGAGGAGGAGGTTTATGGATTCCCCCGGTCGAAACATGCGG